CCCCCGAGGTCTTCAGTGAGCGGTGCCGTTGGAGGCTTTCATGCTTGTTCCCTCCGCTCCCTCCCTCCTAGAGCAAGAAAGGGAAAGACCCCAACGCTCCCAAGCGGCCGATGTCGGCTTACATGCTCTGGCTGAACGCCAACCGTGAGAAGATCAAGTCGGACCATCCTGGCATCAGCATCACAGACTTGTCCAAGAAGGCCGGGGAGCTGTGGAAAGCCATGTCCAAGGAGAAGAAGGAGGTGAGGGACGGGGCGGCGGGGTTGCCCTGCTGGTGGGTAGAGCTGAGCCAGGTCTGGCAGGGGGAGGCTGGACGTGAGGAGGCCTGGCGGGCTCTTGCTTGGTCTCGGGAACCCGGTGCTCCCTGGACGGGAGGTCGGGAAGGGAGGGCGGCGGTGGGGAGGTGACGTCTTTGGGCTGGTGAGCTGTTGGGCGGGCGTAGGCTTGATCCGAGGTGGCGAGGGGACGCGGTGGGGAGCGCTGGCGTGGTGTGGGTGGGGACGGCGTTGGGCTCTGGCGGTGGGGGAGGAGAGAAGGCCCCGCTAACCTTGCGCTCTTGCTGCAGGAGTGGGATCGCAAGGCGGAAGACGCCAGGAGGGACTACGAGAAGGCCATGAAGGAGTACAGCGTGGGCAGCAAGTCAGAGAGCTCCAAGACGTGAGTGCGCTGAGCAGAGGGGGCTGGTGGGAGGGGTGGCAGGGCTTCGCCCCTCCGAAATCGGGCCGTTCCCCAGCCATCATGGTGCCCGGGCCTCTCCAGGGCTGGGGGTGTGTGTGCGAAGAGCGTCCTTGGCTCTGCGGTGCCAGAGACGGGGCTGGTGGGCTGCCGGCAGGGTAACGCTTCTCCTCTCCCTTCCGCCCTCCCAACACGCGCGCAGGGAGAGGTCTAAAAAGAAGAAGAAGAAGCAGGAGAAGCAGATGAAGGGGAAAGCGGAGAAGAAAGGTGCCGCCTCCAAGTCCTTGTCCTCCGCCAAGTCCCCTGCCAAGAACATGAGCGAGAGCTTCAAGAGCAAGGAATTTGTCTCCAGCGACGAGAGCTCCTCCGGAGAGAGCAAGAAGGAGGTAGGGCTCTGGGTGGGTTGGCTCGGGGGGGGTCTCCTGGCCCGCCTCCCCGGGGGAGCGCCCCGTTTGTCTCTCTGGAAGGCGGCCCGCTCTTGCCATCCCCGTAGGGGCTGGGGCCCTCTGGTACCTCTTGCCTGTGGCACGCTGGTCGCATCCTTCAGGGTGCGGGTGGCCTGTCCCCAGGTCACCACTGTCACCCTGTCCCCGCTGTGGGGCACGGGAGAGGCGGGGGAACGGGAGCTGCTGCCCCGACCTCCTCCTCCTCAGAGGGAGTCGCCAGCCTGCCCCCCAGCTCGGAGGAATCCGCGTCCGGCTCGGATTAGCCCCGTCCCCAGCTGGCTCCAGGCTGGTTCCCAGATCGGCGAGAGGACTGGGCGGGCCGGCCCCGCGGCGGGGACCCGGGTCTTGGGCTCCGGCTGGCTCCCGGCCCGCCTTGCCACGACTTCGCATCCTCCTGCCCGCGACGCCGAGGAGGCAGGGGAGCGCGGGGTAGGAGGGCGCCCGGCCCCCCCTGCCCGAGCCCTCAGTGCCTGGCTGGGGGAGCGAGACCCCGTGGAGGAGGGAGGCCCCGGAGGGGCCTCGGTCCCACCTCAGCCCTGTTTCGCATCAATTTATTTTTTTTAAATACTCGGGTTTGTTTCTGTCTCTTTTTCTGTCTCTTTTCTTTCCTTGTTTTTTTTTTTTTTTTTTGTTTTTTTGGGCCGTTTACATGGGAACTTGGATTTAATAAAAAAAAACCCCCG